AGTTGGGTGGGTACTGGGTACGGATTGGGTTTGGGCGGAGTGGGTGATGGGAATTGTGAGAGTTGGGTTTTGTCTTCGTACGGTGTACAATTCGGTTACGGAAAATATTTCTGTTGTACCTAAAAATAAAAAGCTCAGTTTATCCAATCCCCCGCCCAGGCCATAAAAGCGACCCATAGATACACCCGAATGGGAACCAAAGATGTCACTTTTCGTAATTGCAAAGGGGGAATTGCACATTTTAACTGTCCCCACCCTTTGCTCCACATTTTAAGGACTGGTTTGATACACGAAATTTACGAAAATGAAATTAAAATTGAAATTTGGGTGGAGTTGAATTCTTCAATTTCTATTCATTTTTGGCACTGTCAATATTAAATCCACATATTTTTGTGATATCAAACAGTAGAATTAGAATTGTTTTCACCCATTCTAATTTCATTATTTGAGTTCCGTGTACGAAATAGAGCCTAAGTCATCTCAATCACTCCCTCCGCCCCCCTATTTTCGAGACACGAGAGATTAACACAATTTTTAAAAAAAGTTCAATGGTTGATGTAGGTGTTAAAGAATAAAATAAAGTAAGAGTGATTATAAACCATATAAATATGACTGAATATAGAATAATGTAAGAAAAATAATAGGCTCGATGAAAAAGATCAAAGAGTCGTTAGCGTTTGAAAAATGTGAAAAAAGTTAGTGGTACGAAAAGGTATTGAATAATACTGAAGTCCTATAAATATTTCTGTTCGAAAAACGCTAGATTCACAAACAAAATTGTCACAAAATTTACAAACTTTGTGAACTTTAGTAAAAAAAAATTAAATTATCTAATATAATTTTAAAATAAAAATTTATGCTATAAATGATTAGTTTGTGAAGTTTGTGACAATTCTGTTTATGAACCTAGCATTGCTCTTTGTGCTCAAATGGATCACAATGCGGTAAGGATCTTATAAAAAATGTGTTCTTTTTTAAAAATTTACTCAATATGTCATATCCAAAAATTTGCTATTTATTATTGTAATTTTACTTTGTAATTAATAATTTTTCTTAGTTTGGCACACTCTTTTGGGTAATGTTTTTATTGTACTTCTTTTAATTACTATATCACATATATCAATATATGGAGTATATATTGTGGTTAACGTTAGATCGACTGCCCTCCCATGGCTTAATGGGAAAACTTTCAAAAACATTAATATGGAGTAAAAAATAGTGCCAAATATTTTCATAGTTGTCTTTAAATATATACTACCTAGAGTAATAGAGAAGACTTTTAATTTGTTAGTGGGGACAAAATTGTAAAATTATTTAAATTAAATACTCCGCGATAAATATAAATTTTACTAGGTATTAATAACTTATTTTTTTCTTATAAGTCAAATAAAAAACGTGTTGTTTAATTATTTATGCCCTAAATAATTAAGAAGGTGCACTATATTTTGAACAATGTATAATAATGGAGTAAATTTCAAAGTTTCTTTTTAAACACTGAGTATGTCAAATTTAGGGAGAAATTAAAGAAATGCCGACCACATATCCAAAGTTGACGATGTGCCTAATGTGTGGGAATATGTTTAAGTCTTGGATAATTTTGAATAACGTAGATTAATTTTAAAATGTAAAAAACTAAATGGTGCCAAAAACAGTTTTTATGAAATACTCCGTACTAAAACTAAACATTTAATGAGATTTTTTAAGTGGTTCTAAAGTTTGTTTCATTTTAAAGATTTTAATACATTAATATCATAAAAGAACTGAGATTTTTATATAAAAAGATTACGTAGTACTTACCAACCCATGAAAAAGTGTGTGAATGTCCAAGTTTCATATGGTGGCTTTAGAATCATGAAAGAAGAACTTAACGTAAAACTATTTTAAAATATGTACATAGGACTTGTTCTCTTCACATGGTCTGATTTGATCTGATATAATAAGATAAGTACTGTTTTGATTATCATTAGATTTAAAGTTGCTTTTAATCTGATCTAATCTGATTTCAATAAAAATAAATAATACTCCCTCCGTTCCACAAAACCCTTCCGGTTTTGACTTTGGAAAAATAAGGAAAGTGTAATTTTGGTTGACTTTCCAATTTTGCCCCTTATGTGATGGGAAACAGTAAGATGTGATAGTTTGGTTTAGACCTGTGCAAATAAGGATCCGGGTCGGATCTGGGTCGGGCTTGATATAAATTTTAGCCCATTTACATGGGCGGGCCTGGCCCGGCCCGGATTTGATGGGCTAAATTCTTTACCCATACCCGCCCATCTTTGCGGGCCAGACTGCCCACCGGGCTGCCGGCCCGGATAAAACATCAAGAAATTTTTTTTGTACAAAAAATTTAGAAAAAAAAACATTGAACTCTTTTTTAATATTTAAAATAAAATAACCAGTCACCACATTTATATTGAAAGCATAATAGAGCTATTGTTGCATAATTAATAAATTCATCATACTGATTCATTAAAAGAGTATCGATTTTTGTTTAAAAGAGGTGAGTGAATTAAACTACTCCGTATTATACATGAATTATAGAAAATTTTAAAATTTATATTGGCTAGGTAATTAATTATAAAATAAATATATTTGATGAATATGGGCAGGCCTGTTGGCCCAGATGGGCTAAAAGTAACTTCCAGATCCGCCCATATATAATTCAGGCTTGGGCCGGCTCGCCCATTTGGATATTAAAGGTTGTCCATATCCGACCTTTTAAAAGGACGGGCTGGGTGGGCCGAACGGGCCGACTCTTGTTTGCACAGGTCTAGTTTTGTTATTAGTGAAAAAGTATGTTGTGATAGGTATGATATGAAAAAATAGGGGTAAAAGTGGTTTTTTAATAGAAAGTGGAAATATTTTGTGGAAAGCAAAAAAACGAAAGAGGAAGGGTGTTGTGGAACGGGAGAGTAAATAATAAAAATAGATTGACTAGAATAAACTCTTATTTATTGTACACATAGACAAAAATAGTGACTTTTTAGTTTTTGTTGGAGTTTAATTGGAATTTAGAAAGGTCATGTTATAAATAGTGGTGTGGAATTTTTATATCAAACATTGATGTCAAATTTTAATACCGAATATCAAACACTTATCATAAAGAAAAATGTTTGGTTCACAAATAAAATAATCACAAATTTTAAAAAGTTACTATTTGTGAAATTCAATAAAAAAATAAAATTGTATAAAATAATTTCAATATGATAATTTAAACTATAAATGATAAATTTTTGAATTTTGTGACCATTTTATTTGTGAATCTAGCACTTCTCTAAAATATATTACCTCAACTAAAATTCCCTTGTTGAACAATGTTCTAAAAATCTTGCCAAAAGTCAATCCGGATGAGGTACTATATCAAGGGTTGATCACTCCAACTGGTCAAACTACGGGTCAACGACCCAGTCAAATGATGTTTATAATAATAATAATATTTAATATTATATATTAGATATTTTAGTCATAAAAAAAATTTAATTTATTATTTTATTTTTTCATTTAATTTTGAATATCATTATGCATATAATACGATTTCACATCTTCTATTTTTTTTATTCTAGTATTTTTGTCATTATTAAAAATCAATAATAAATGTCTATTGGATGCAACAAAAATTAACAAACAAATAAAATATGAGAATAAAAAGTGGATGAAGTACATTTTGTGTACACATTTGGTGTACTCCTAGTATCCCACATAAAGCTACTATATCCTATAATATACTCCCTCCGTGTCCTAGCGTGTTTGTCCGGTTTGATTTTTTCGAGTCAAACTGGACAAACTTTGAAATTCAATTAAATAAAAACTGTAATGTATTTTAACATAAAAATTACTTTATTGGATTTATCGTATTGAGAACTTTCAAAATTGTATTTCAATATGCTAATATGCAATATAAATTAAAGGTAATTGAAGTTTAAAGTTTCTCCAGTTTGACTCAAAAAAGCCAAACTAGACAAATACACTGGACAGAATTAGTAGATGCCAAATGGTACCACATGTAAATGTCACACTTTCAACCAAATCTGAAAGCAGTCGTTGATAGATTTGGAGATCTGTGCCATTATTTATCTGTGTTATATCTAAGTATGAAAAACTTAATTGTATCATTGAAATACTATACAAATGTTTTATTATTGTTCTTGTTCCAAAGAAAAACAAGAATAAAACATTAATATAGTAATTTTAATCTTATTTAAGTATAGAGTGGACTTTGCATTTTTCAAAAGACGATAATGTCCATCCTAGCCTCTCCTGATTCAACTCGAATAGTAATCTAGAAATGAGATAAGTGAAACTTTAAACTTTGTTATATGAGTCTTAAGTGAAATCAAATATGTTTTCGGCCCGGTTCTATGGCCACTGCATTCCGGTGGCCACGGAAGCCACTACCCCTTACGGAGCTCCGTTCATAAAATTGATGATTCCTACCCCCCGGCGAACCCCCGCCAAGTCCCGACCCAAACCCATCCTCCCAAGTCCTACCTACGTCAATTGCACCTCGTAAGCATAATTGACTTTAAAGTCAAAAATTTTGATTTTATGCTTACGATGTGTAATTGACGTAGGTGGGAGGATGGGTTTGGGTCGGAACTTGCCGGGGGTTAGGAAGGGTAGAAATCATCAATTTTATGAACGAAGCTTCGTAAGGGGGTAGTGGCTTCCGTGGCTACCGGAATGCAGTGGCCATGGAACCGGGCCGATATGTTTTATTTTTTTAAGACACATAATTTAATATGATCCATCATATATATTCTCATAGAAAAAATCTTGACCAAACTTGTCACAAACCCACATAAATATTAATTCTTTATATTTACAGAGATAGTGAATGTTTGTGTGGGTCTCTAACAAGTTTGGTGTACACCCGATGCACCCCTAGCAAAACTCTAGTAAATGTGATCCTCCAGCATGAAAAAATGATAAATAGGGGCAAATATGGAAGGGAGAATATAAATATTAAGTTGAGTAGATAAAACTAATAAGACAATAATAATAATCAAAGATTAGTTTTGTTGATCTCCAAATCATCAAAGGGCTTATGAACAAAACACACCCACACACACCGCCGCTCAGGGGAAAAACCCAACACCACAACTCCTCCTCCATCTCTTCTGAATTACACATTCTAACCCATTTTTCTTTAAAAAAAAAAACAAGCCATGGGTCGGGTCGGGTTAGAGGACATACATCAGCCCAAAATGAGTTTTCAAAAAAAAAAAAAGAAAAGAAAAGAAGGGAACCGCAGAGGCCGCCGCCGCCGCCGGGAAGCGCTTCTACCTGAGCATGGAAGTTAAGGAGCGGAAGGCGAGTTCCTCGCAGGGGAGAGTGATGCCCATGTCGTGATCGAACCCGAACTCCTCCTCGGCGCGCCGGAGGAGGCACTGGAACTCCGGCCGGCTGAGGAAGGAGATCGGGACGATGTGCCGGACCCTCTTCTCCCCGACGTAAACCGCGAAATGGCCCTTCGGGACGTCGACCGGCGGCGACATTTCGTCCCCGTCGTAGCCGGCGGTCTTCCTCCCCATGCTCGAACACCTCCTCAGAATCTGCTTGATCGCCGCCGTTTGCAGCGGCAGCTTGCTCGATTTTCTGATGGCCATTTTCTTTTATTAAATTGATATTACAGAGAGGTCTGAGAAGAAGTCTATGGAGAAAGAAAGTGGAGAAGAAGAAATGAAAGAGTGCTCGGCGGTGGTGAGGGGAAAGGGACGATGTGAAGGTCATGTATTTAAGAAGGGAAAGTGGTGGCTGGTGTTCTGCGGGATTCAAGTGGGCCAGGGAGTGGTGATGCCAGGGGTTTGGGTCGCGGTAATTTTCATTTTTTGTTATGTTGGTTAAAAATTGTTTATTACTCTCTACTACGTATTTATTAAGGAATTAAATTTATTTTTAGTCCTTGTATGTAGCTTTTGTTCATTGTTCATGTAAATTTGGTTTGTTAAGTTATCCCTACAAAAAAAAAAGATAAGGTTAAAAATAAGAGTAATTTACCTAAATATGACTAAAACATAATGACTTTCCCAATATAGGACCATATGTTTTTATTTTCCAATGTAGGACCTTTAGTCATTATGAAGTAGTCATTATTCAAGTAAATTTCCATCATTATGGATATTATTCCTCCTACTAGATCATTATTAAGTTCTATTTAGGGAAATTAATCTGTTTTTACTAATATATAAACTCTTTATAAATAAGGAAAACTAGTAGATCTTTATTTTTCCGTTTTGACCAAATAAGTTACATAATTATATCTAACCTTTTATGAATTATCACTTGTTTATGTTTATTAAAAATACTACTCCATTCGTTTTCAAAAACACTTCCTATTTCATTTTTTTTCACTTTCAACAAAACGTACACTTCTCCTTTCTATTAAAAAAAAACTATTTTTACCCTTACTTTTTCATACTCTACCTATCCCATCATACTTTTTCTCTAATAATCAATTCATCAAATCTTACTTTTACCCATCACATCAGGGGCAAAATTAGAAGTCAACTATAATTTTACACTTCCTTAATTTACCTTATTTTCAAAGTGGGAAGGGTTTTTCCAAACGGAGGCAATGTGATAAACGTTTTACGGAGTATAAGTTAAAAACTATTCACCTCAAATTCCAACAAATCCAAACGTTGGGGGGGGGGGGGGTAAAATGTTTCATGTGGGTTTGAAGTGTGTGTACCAGGAGAAAGGACGTAGTGGGGGTGGGGTCCATATCTATTGGGCTTTACACGTCTCATGTTGACCTTACTTGGGTTAATTTGTGGCCCGCCCACTTACTCTCTCTCTTACTTTGTTTTTTTTACTTGTTGTATTCCTATGTTAATGTACAGAGCAATGCTAGGGATACACCAAAGGTGTACCTCATTTGTCCCCCACCCCCTTTTCCATTATCCATTTTTATTTATTTAATTTTTTTTGAAGTTTTTGCTCATTTATGTGGTAGAGGAGGGGGTGGGGGACAAATGCGGTACACCTAAAGGTGTACCCCTAGAATTTTTCTAATGTATATTCACTTTCATTGACATCACTTTATAGAGAATATAAACTTTCTACCTGGTTTACTCTTCTTCAAAAAAGTAAAACATTTTCATGAAATTAGGATGCAATTCTTTTTGAAATACCTAACAAAATGTGTAGATTATAAGGGAAAATATTAAAAAATAAGTGATACTCCAACCCATTCAATATTAAAACTCAATTCACTAGTTACATAACAGCAAATACAACAAATCAATAAATTACCCAGCCAATAATTTTATTAGCTAATAATGTGTAGTTGTATATATAATGTCTAAGACACGTACTTTTTTTTTTCTAAGACACGTACTTAAATACTTCTAAAGTTACATTTGGAACATTTTTTTCTTCAATTAGCGCTTTGAGTCACCTGATTCATTGATTTATCAAAATTACAGGGGTATAATATATATGTGTGCATTGTATATAGGCATGGCTTTATAAAGAATGCAATAAATGATAAGAAAAAAACAGGCCTTCATTTGTTTTGTAATTTAATTTGTTCACTCAATTTCAAATATCAATGGTAATAAATAAAATAAAATGGGGGGGTATAATTGGCTCTTGGTGTGTGAGTTTGTCCCAAGATGAATTTCTGGTGGGTGACAAGACTTGGGGGTAAGATGTATGAATTGTCTGAATCAAACAAATACTCCCCCATTTTTAAATATCCATCTACTCATTACTTAATTATTATTAATGGCACAAGTTTTAAAAAAAAAAAAACAGAAAAGATACATTGTTCAAGCTAGTACGTACCCTCATAAATTACGGAGTAATTGTGAAGTCGTTAAGACCCTCTCACAAATTAAATTGACTTTTACTCAACGACTTTAATGCTTAATTATATTAATGATCCAAAACAAGGAGGAAGATATATACTCCCTCCGTCCCACTATATTTGTCCACTTTCATTTTTGCACACAATCCAATACACTTCTTTAATCTATTTTATCTTGTAATTTGTATATTAAAAAATTATAGAAATTATATATTAATAATCTATATGTTAAGACAAATCAAACAAGATCACGCATGACTATATTTAGGCTTACACATTGAGAGAATTTGATGAGTCAAAGTGCTTAGATGAACAGTTCCAAAAGTTAAAAGTGGACAAATATAGCGGGACGGAGGGAGTAATACGGAGTAAATTAATAATGATTTGAAAAGTCAATATTTTTACCCTAATTAACAGTAATGGGTTTAATGTGCGGAGAAGAAAAAGAGGAGATACGTGGTCTGTGTAATTAAGATTTGGTTTGAAAAAAGAAAAAGAGAGAAATAGAGAAAAGAATTGTGGTTAGGAGGTTGCAGAAGTGCATGTGCATGGATTACTGGAAACTGTGTACCACTTTGACCGGTTGTACGCCGTACGGAGTAATATTATTACTGTGTTGGGTGTGTGTACCCTATGAAGGCGGAGAAAAGAGATTTTACTATTTCCTTTTTGATGATCTTCTCGTTTCCGGTGCATTACCTCCACCTCTTTCTTTCAAAAAAAAAGGTTGAACACTCGCTTGGGGCATTCCTACACCTCGATCGCATAAGATTTTTATGAAAAGTAAATTACAGTATAACCTCACTCTGTTCTTAGAAAGGCTATCTCGTGCTTGATGTGCACAAGAAACTATTACAATAATAGAATTTCCACACTGCCACTACCAATATTCGATCCTACTAAAAATGAGTTTGACATCCTCTCTTTAGACCAACTCTCTCCATTTAAAAGTTTACCAAAATACTCTTAATAAAAATGGATGAAGTATATTAATAAGATGGGTGAGGTATAATAAATTAAATAAGTGACGGTAGTTTTCTATTTAAAATATTAAAAAAGTTATGAGAATATCTATGAAAGACAAGTCAAAAAGACTAATGGGAAGACAATGTGGGACACAGAGTATATTTTATTTTATGAATTAATCAATGAGAATGTGCAAAGAAAGTATTCTCTCTGTCCCAAAAAGATTGGTATATATTGACTTTTTGGGGAAATTAAGAGAAGGATATTTTAGTGTTGACTTTCCAAAATACCCTTGATGTGATGAGTAGATTATTAGGAAAAAGGTATGATGTGATAGGTAGGGTATGAAAAAGTAATGGGTAAAAGTGGTTTTTTAATAGAAATGTAATGGACTTTATGCGACGCAGTTTTTTCGAAACGTGTCAGACTTTTTGGGACGGAGGGAGTATGTGTTAGTGATTATCTCACATTGAAAATTTAAGAGTAAAATAATCGATATGTAAGTTATTGAGTTCAACTAACTAATCGATTGGATTCAATCTTTTAAAGTGGTTCAACCCAAATGTCTTATTACTCAATTCAGTAATTCTTACCTCATTCTAAATTGTATCATGGTACATATCAGAGCAGAATTTGATTATTGAAGCAAAGTGTGCAGGAATTTAATTATTGAAGCAAGAAAAGCAGTGAACTAATTAAATCTCTGCTGTGTTTACAAGTGTTTCGGCATGCACATGCATCAATTTAAAAAGGAAAATGCTAAAAATCCCCCACCCTTGCTACCAATCATGCCCCCCTACATAAACATGTGGTAGGGAGGCAAGAAAATTAAAGTTAGAGGGTGGGTGGAGAATGGGTAGAGATAAATATGTGGTGGAGAAGTGGGTGGAGGCAAGGTTGGTAGCAAGGGTGGGAGTGTGTAGCACGGTCCATTTAAAAAAGTACTCTGTAATATATCCGGAGTTTTCTACTGTTCCTTCTGTACGTACTCTTCAGTCTTCCCCGTACATCGTCGTCGTCTCGTCTTATTATTCCTCAACAACGGCCGTTACTTCTGTTATGTGAATCCCTTTAATTATTTATAGAATTAAGATATTTGTACGTCCAAAATTATGCTTCTTCGTTTTATATCTTTTTTTCGTTGCGCAAAACGAAGAAAAATAACAAGTTTTTGTGGTTTATTTTGATTTATTTAAATATTGGCATAAAGATAAAAAATTATAACTTACATATTAAAACTAAATCAAAAGTTGAACAAAACAATTCAAGTGTTGATAAGAAAATTTTGTTTTACCATATAGACGAAGAAAAAACACAAATAAATATAAATTTTTCTTGAAGTTAGAATGGTGATCTGGGAAAGCAGATATGCACCAACATTAATCAACAACGATCGTTACATTGCTTTCCGTACAGTTCTGTTAATCTGTTTAACTTTTTATACAATTAAGCTATTTGTACTCTTAAGTTATATCTCGTTATATACCCAAGAAACATGCACCAACATTTCATGTTAGGTAGTGTTTGGCAACTAGCATTTTATTTCAATTCATGCATTTCAATTCTAAAATTTAAAATCTTGAAATTCAAATGACAAGGGGAGGAGCATGGATTTTAAATTAAGCTTTGTTTTGAATGAAAAGAATTTGACTTAAATCCAAATTCAAATTTTTTAAGTTTTCCAAACATGGGATTTGAGCCAAATCCGGATTTGAAATTCAAATCCATGTTCCCAAACATACCATTAGTGTAATAGTTTAGAATGACATAGAATGTCAATGTAATTTTTTTCATTACACTAGCATTTTATTTCAATATAAATCACAAAAATGCCAATCGTCTCTTTAGACTATAATTTGAAGTACGGCTTTGTTTGGAAACAACATTTTTTTATTAGCGTTAGAGTTTTAGATAAAATTTTAATGGTGTAGATTAATTACGAAAACGCTAACTCTAAAGACTACTATCAGATCGTCTTTTCAAAATGCTAATACTAATAGCTAACGCTGATGCCAAATGGAACCTACATTTATTGATGTACCTTTTAACATGGTTGTTATTTATATTAACGACCGACGGTGATGTTTTCTGTTTCCACAGTTGGTCTGCAAAAGTTTGGATTTTAATTGTTGGTTGTACACTTGTACGTAGATGCTTCCACTGTAAAATTATTTTACTCTCTCTCCATCTTTGAAATAATTTGACCGTTTCACTGCACGAAAATTTAAAAAAAATGTTGAAAAAGTGAGAGAAGTATTGTTAGAATCATTATATATAATATTTGAGAGTTGATACTCTCAGAAGCTGACATTTGGCACTCTTAAAGACTCGCCACGTGTCCAGTTTTATGTCTCTCTTCACCAAATTATAATTACGGAGTACTTCGTAAATAAAAGTAAAGTTTTCACTCAAGGAAAGTTTTCCCCTAAGGAAACCTATAATCTCACCAATATCAATTGAGTCTCCAGAAGGAAACTCTCCGTTCTTAATCAAAAAAATCTCTCATCAATTTAATTGAGATGTAAAAATGCCAAAAGGAAATTGATTTCCTGACTCAATCATGAAAATTCAACGGGCTCCAATTGAGGCTGATCGTGTCTTTCTCATCGCGTGAAGATCTCAGAACATTTGAGATTCAAAGGAAGAAAATATGTGGCGGAAGAAAACAACCGGCTAAGGAAGAGTTTCTGCAATCCTTCATATTTTCTATTATTAGACAACAATACTAATAGTAATTCTTGTAGTATTGGTTAGGGTAGTATTTCATTATTAGTCAGTTTCCTAATCCTATTTGTGGTAGATGTTGTATGTTAGTTAGTTTTCAATCTCTATTCCTAGTTGTGTTAGGAGTCTCTCCTATATATATACTTTATCATGTACTTCATAATTCAAGGAGCAATATTACTATTCCAATATTTCAACACAAAGTCATATCCTTCCAATTGAAGCAAAACAATCGTCTCCGTTTATTGTAATCTTCGATCAGCTATCATTTGGTAATCTTTACTTAATTTAGTTTTCTCAAATTGTTAGGGCTTATATTTGGCAAATCTTGGGCTTAAACTTTATTGTTCAAAATTCTATTTCTTTTTAAATATTTTCTTTTAAACTTTTTTTAAAACTTATATATATAATTTATTTATATATACAATTTCTTTTTTTAAATCTATACTATTCTTAAAAGCAGGGGAAATTGTGCAAGCCTTTTTCCCGCCCAAACATTCATCTATTAATGCTAAGAACGTTAATAGCCTTGGAATATTTTTTTGGTAATATATTACTACCTTTTATGCATTTAATTATAGAAAATATTGTTACATTATTACCTTATATAGCTTTTATTTAATGTCAATTTAATCACGGAAACATCTTTCAAAAATATAATACCTTTTATACGTTTAATTATAAAAAAATACTTTTACATTATTACCTCATATAGCTTTTATTTAATGTGGATTTTATGATATAAACATTTTTACGGTAATATATTAACTTTTATGGAGGAAATATATTTTTTGTAAGGCGTGTATTATGTTAAAATAATAATAGAAATACTAATGTAACAATGGTAAGGATTGAAATCGCGCTAAAATAGTGTTTCGTTATGAAAAAAATATATGTACATTAACACCTTATGTAGCTTTTATATAATATAAATTTGATTATAAAAATTTTTTATCTTTTAAAAATTTTATGCTTGAAAAGTTAGTCTTGATTTTAAATTAAAGAGAATTTCAATATTTGAGGAAATTCATTATTCGGTACATTATTACGTTTTACGAAAATTTTACGCTTGACAAGTTAATTACTATATATTATTACATTTTTAAGGAGAACATAAATTTTTATTAATTTTAATGAAAAATCTGATCATAAACTGAAATATACATCAATACACCAAATTTAAATAATAAATATTAAGTATGTCAATTAACAACGTATAATTGATATTTTTATGACAAACATATATTATGTTAAAATAATAATAAAAATACTAAGCTAATAATAGTAAAAATTGAAATTGAGTAGAAATGGTGTTTCTTTATGGAATTTTTTATACTCCCTCCGTTTGGGAAAACCCTTCCCACTTTGAAAATAAGGCAAATTAAGGAAGTATAAAATTATAGTTGACTTCCAATTTTGCCCCTGATGTGATGGGTAAAAGTAAGATGTGATGGATTGATTATTAGAGAAAAAATATGATGTGATATGTAGGGTATGAAAAAATAAGGGTAAAAGTGGTTTTTTAATAGAAAGAGGAAGTGTTTTGTTGGAAGTGAAAAAAATGAAAGAGGAAGTGTTTTTGAGAACGGAGGAAGTATATATTACGGAGTATTATCTTATCATTCTTATGTAGCTTTTATATAATGTCAATTTAATTATGAAAACATTTTTATAGCTTTTATAAATTT